ACTCCGAGAAAAAGCTTAAACTCTAAGTCTAAAGCTATTAAGTAAGGTCGATATACACCTAGCGCGCTACTAGCGCGGCGTAGTCGAAACGAAGGTAGGACTAATACAGGTCGACTACCTACTAGACAATATAGCCGATATTAACGTTATATCGAGAGAGTTCGTACTTCGAGCCGGCTTACTAGCGAGAGTAGATACGTTATTACTATCTATATTCTCCTTTACCGGAGAACTAGGTTACTACTACGGAGCGTACGTTATACGTCTACGTATCGTAGACTCGGAAGGAGTCGAACGAATAATAGRAGYAACCTTCTATATATACGAAACTCCGAAGCCCGAACTAATATTAGGCCGCCCCTAGCGACGTATATAACGTRTAATCGTCGATAGCGCTACGRATRCGTAGCGCTTTAGYAAACTAAACTCTAGTCGAATTAAGGTTATTAATCTATAGGAGTTTTACCGTAAGATATAGGGTAAGTACGTAAGGGTTCTCGTAGTAAGCGTATTACGTACTAGCGAAATCCTTAGTAGGCCCGAACTTCCGGAGGAGTTTAAGGTATATTACGATATGTTCTTTCCTATAGATAAGGCGAGGCGTAAGCTCCCCGACGACGTAGAGTACGCTATCGATTTAGAGCTAGATAAGAAGCCGCCCTTTAAACCTCTCTATTATTAGTCTCCGAAAGAGCTAGCGTAGCTATAGGAGTATATTACTAAAGCGACTAAGAACGATTAGATCGAGCTTAGCGAAAGCGAGGCGGGTGCGCCTATCCTATTCGTTCCGAAAAAGGATAGCTTACTACGCTTATATATAGACTATCGCGGCTTAAACGAAATTACGATTAAGAACCGCTAWCTACTTCCCTTAATTAGCGAGACGCTTAATCGACTTAGGGGCAACGTATTCTTTACTAGCTTAGACCTCTCGRCTACGTATTATCGCATTAAGATTAAGGCTAGCGATCGCTAGAAGACTACGTTTCGTACGCGTTACGGACACTTCTAATATAAGGTTATGCCTTTTAGACTATATAACGTACTAGCGACTTTTTAAGGATATATTAACCGAGCCTTATCGGGGCTAGTCGATATAATCTACGTCGTTTACTTAGATAACATTCTTATCTATAGTAAAGACCGAGCGTAATACTAGCGTAACGTATACGCCGTACTCGATAGGCTAAGGAAGTTCTAACTTTACTATAACTTTAAGAAGTGTAGTTTCTTCTAAGATTTAGTCGATTTTCTCGGCTTCGTAGTTACTACGTAAGGCGTTACGATAGAYCTACGTAGGGTAGACGTAGTCGCCGAGTAGCCTCGGCTAGAAACCCTTAAGGATGTATAAGTACTCCTTAGATTTACTAACTTCTATAGGCGGTTTATTTAGTAGTACTTACGCATTATAAGGCCCTTAACCGACCTATCGAAGGGAGCTATTAAAGGCAGGAAGCTAGGGAAGATCCCTTAGGGCGCTAGCGAAGAGAATGCGCTAAGCTAGCTTAAGGAAGCCTTTTAGTTAGCCCTACTACTAAGGCACTATAACCCTACGCTTCGCCTACGAGTCGAAACCGACGTATCGGACTTCGCGCTTACGGGCATCCTCTTATAGTAGTTTAAGGACAAATAGTAGCATCCTATTACTTTCTAGTTACGGAAGATAATTCCGGCCGAATGTAATTACGAGACCTACGATAAAGAGCTACTTATAGTAGTAAGTACGTTTAAGTAGTAGCGCCCGTACCTCGATAGCGCTACGTATGCGATTTAAGTAATCGTCGACTATACTAACCTTAAAGCTTTTATAACGATAAAACAGTTAGTCGGTCGATAGGTACGATAGGCGGTTTAATTAGCGCCCTTCGACTTTACTATCGAATATCGCGTAGGGACAAAGAACCCTACGGATAGTCCGAGTAGGCGTAGCGACTACGAAACGAGTACGACGGAGTCGTCTTAGTATATAAGCATACTATTGCCTATACTATAAAGCAAACTTTAGAACTAGTAATCTAATAAAGCTCTTCGAAGCGAGCTAGAGCCCTCTATTAGAAGAGTAAGAGCTATATACTACACGATTAAGTGCGAGGGATTACTACCTACTAGAGTATACGGCGAGCTTTCGCTACCTAGGCGTGTTATAGCCGTCCTAGTAGCTATAGACTTAGCCCTTAGAAATATTCCAGACCTAATACTCGGTTACGCTAAAGCACTAGTAAACGTAGACGCGGATACTTCGAGTATACGCGACGCGGCTAGGGAGAAGGGCGAGTACGAAGGCTACATTATTAAGGATAGAACATTATTCTACGGCGATACCCTATACATTCCGAAAGACTACGCTTTACGTGCGTAACTAATGCGTATACACTACGATAACGCTCTCGCCGGACACTWTAGGAAGGCGAAGACGCTCGAGTTACTTTAGCGGAAGTACTACTAGCTACGTATAGCTACTAATATCGTAGAGTACATTAAGGGGTACTATATATACCTCGTAAGTAAGGCGCGGCACTACCGCCCCTAYRGAGYAATAGTTCTATTACCTATACCGGATCGAGTATAGYAAGAAATTAGYATAGACTTTATTACGGACCTACCTCCTAGTAAGCGCGGAGATAGCGTCTATACTACGGTGCTCGTAATCGTCGACCGCTATAGYAAGATAGCTTTATTTATCCCTACTACTAAGTAATATAATATAGTAGAGCTAGCGGATATCTTTATATCTTACGTAGTTTRTAAATACGGCGTRCTAGTAGGCATTATTAGTAATAGAGGCTCGGTTTTTACTAGCTAATACTAGTCTAACTTCTGCTACGAAGYRTATATAAAGCGTAAGCTAAGTATAGCCTTCTACCCTTAGACGGATAGATAGACTAAGAAAGCTAATTAGACGCTTAAGTAATACCTACGCTACTACTACGGCACGTAGTAGGAYAGCTAGGCGTAATAGCTACCTATAGCTAAATTTGCGTATAATAATAGCGTATACGCGGGCCTTAGAATAAGCCCTTTCTAAATCCTCTACGGATAGAACCTAGAGCTAGCGACGCGCCCTCTAGGCGACGGCGCTAATACCTAAGACATCGCTCGG